TCAGATTTTAATTTATAATACTAAAATCATAAATTTAATAAATTAATTTATCTATAAATATTTTAATAATATTTTTTAAATAATATACTAAAAATTAAATATTTAATAAATTATATATTGATTTGAATATAATTTATTATATTTAATAAAAAAATACAAATTATTAAATAATCAATATTCAAAATAAATTATAAATGAAATATTAAAAAATTAAATATGAATTCTAAGTAATTAAAACATGAATTTTTTAAAAATTAGAATATTAAAATTTGGTTATTTTTTTAAAAATAAATGTAGATGCTTGGTGGAGAATCGCTACAAATGTTGCTGCCAGAAAAAAATACATAATTTTTCAAATTTAGAAGCAGTAATGTAACCTCTATTCAAATTGTTATCAACAATGACTGACTTTCTGAAATTTTCACAATTTCATGAACTGCTATTATTTTTAAGCCAAAAAATTCACACCTGTCAAGGGAGATTTCATTTTGGTTTGGACATAGCAGTTCTTTGAACTGCTACATAAATTGTAGTATTTTGACTATGGTTAGTGCTGATGGTCTGATCCCAATCAAAATCTACCATCCAGTCTTGGTTAGTCATGGTGGGAGTCAACCAAAGGCAGTGAAGCAGAAGTTGAGAAGTTAGTGAAGTCAGCCAACGAATGCAAAGGAAGAGAGAGGCTTAGATAGAAATTAGAAATAATAAGAGTTTAGAATGAATTTTAAATTACAAAGAGATTAAGAATTAGGTGAGATTCTGATTCAGATTCAAATTTAAATTAACACATTTTTAGTTGTCCAAATAATTGATTTGGCTCAAATCTAAAGTCAAATTCATATGCATTCAAACATAACATTAAATAATTACAGTTGGGAAGAGTTTGGTTTAATTTTTCTTCTTGAGGAACTGCTGCTAAAAGATTTGCTAAAAGATTGACATACCTAATATCGGTTCCAAACTCTACATTGCAAGGCTTGAACATTTGGTCTCTGTAGGTGTTGAACCCTCCCTAATTACTTTGGCTAATTTATGTGTCTTCGGTTGATTGAGGTATTGTATTGAGACTGATGATGAGAATTTAGTTTGAACCCCGTGTGTGTGTGTGTGTGTGTGTGTGTGTGTGAGTGAGTGAGAGAGAGATAATTTACATTTGATCTTCCTAATGCAGAATAGGTGGTCTCTTCTGCATGATGATATTCCAACATTTTACAATTTGACCCGAATGGAATTTATATGCAGTTTTGGTGATTGGAATAGGATAGTGAAATGTTTGAACAACGTCTTCCCCGAACTTGAAACTCTTGTAGTTCATGAGGTTTGTTGATCTCAACTTGGTTTTTGTGTGCATTACCTGTAATTTGTTGCTAACTTCAATATCTGTTATCAGATGTATGTTCCTATTATATTAATGAGAACATGGTGGTGGTGACTGAGCCAATACTTGATGTTCTTCAATGTGTTTCATCAAACCTGAAGAAATTTAGTCTAGGCAAATGTATTGGCCACCAATGTGAGTTTGAGGTTGCAACATTTATAATGCAAGCGTCTTTAGGAGCATCTCCATTTGCAGTGTTCATTACATAGATAAAGATAAAAGATTATCCTCATGTCCTAGAGCCTCTGCTAATTGCACGCTTATTGTTTAGCTAAATATATGAGATACACCATCTCGTTGAAGTAGTGTTAGTGTTCTTTTTAAGATCATTCGTCTTTTGCTTATCATCAGTAATATATAACATGACCGAACTGCTGGACTCTTGATGGAGCGTATTTTGATTCTGTTTCTGCTATGTGTAATGTGTGTGTGTGTTGTATCGGCGCATAACATTAGAGATGCAGTTTCCATGAATTTGTGTTACAGGGTATAATTGAGCTTTCTGGATGTGTTGAAGTGAACACAAAGCATAGTATTCTTGCTGGTATAGGTTCGTGAAAGTCTTTATTCAGTGACTTGTAACTACTGCTAGTGCCTTCTGCCTTTTACTCTTTAGCAAGTCTTGCATTATTTTCGGGGGCAAAAAGTGTTACGTTCTTTTCGGAAAATAATATAACCTAATTTTTCCTAAGTTCAGAACTATAAAATTGTTTCTATATGTATAATAATTTGTATATATTTTGAAGTCGCAGGGCAATTGGAACATCTTGAAAAGCGATAAAGATAGATATATATATATATATACTCTCTCTATTTGGTTTATTTATAAGTTATTTTAAAATTCAAAAAATTTTAAAATTTATTAACTTTATTTAAAAATTTAATAAATTTATAACATTACTCTACTAAAGAAGACAAATTCAATGTTGATTTTGAGGATTATCAATTGGTAACTGAAAAGAAAAGTATGAATAGCAAAATAATAAACAAAAGAGACAATTCATAAAGAATAAAAAAAAATGAAATGAATGATAGAAAGCAAGTGAGAGAGGAAAAGAGAGAGAGAGAGAGAGAGAAGAAGAAGAAAAAAAAAGGACAACGAAAAGAAAAGGAAAAGCAGAAAGATAAACATGAGCCATGTGCCAAATGAAAGTATCTTCTTTGCTTTTTTTTATTTTTTTTTTCTTCTTTTTTTCCTTCTTTTTTGTTTTTTTCTTCTTTTTTTTATTATGTGACTTAGCTTTTTTCTTGGTTTTTTTTTCCCTTTCCCCTTCATTTCCCCTTTTTCTTAGTCTCCTTTTCTTTACTCTTTTGACTTGCTTTTTACAATTCCTGTCATTCCTTTTCTTTTTTTTTATTTTCTTATTTTGATTAATTGCCTCTTTTTTTTTTCATTTTGCTATTCTTGCGGTTGGTTATATATTGATAACATTTTTTTTAATAAAGATAAAAAGATTTGATAAAAAAAAGTGTAAAAGGAAAAATTTGTTACTATGATGACTAATAATAAATAGAACGAAAAATTCTGTCCTCCTTGTAAATAAGATCTAAATCTGAATAAAAAAGCCACTAATTGGGACTAACTATTATTAAAAACTTATGCATATTTATTACGAGAAATTAAAATACAATAACTTAGTGCACTTTAAAAATTGATAAATCTAAAAAAAAGGTAAAAATACTTATTGTGTATTGCGTGAAAAGTGCTAAAAAAAGGCTTAAAAAACGAGAGGAGGAAAAGAAAAATTTGAAATCATATTAACGTAAGTTTCGCTCTTTCATTTAAGAAAAGGGAAAATTATAATGAAATTCTAATTACTAAAAAGTCTTACAAATGCACAAATTCCCCTCCATTTCAAATCCTTTAATTGTAACTTCTAAATTATCTCTAAAAATTCAAGACTTGTTATTTTTAAATATTATATGATAAAATATTTTAAAATTATTCGATTAAATCAAATAAATATTATCATACTACGTGAAACATGTAAACTTAGATTACTTATTAGATTCAAATCTATAGAAAGACTAGTGGTTTATTTTGAGTGGTAGTCTTGGTAGGAGAAGAATCCTAAGACAAGTTGGTTCGCATAAGGATTAATAATAATTGGATAACTTATATATTTTAACACAATAATACAAAACATTAATAATTAACAACTAATATTAAAAATAAAAACAACTTAGGCATACGTAAATAATAACTTGAATTTAAGTAAATAATAGTTTGGATTTAATTTCAAAAAAACTAAAATGTAAATATCTAAATGTTTCTTTTGGAAATCTCAAACCAAATATTTTCAATATGTATAAAACGATATAAACATATATATATATATATATAAACAAAATTGATTAAAAATCATAATAGTATTACTTAGCGTTAACATGCAAAGTAGGAGGCCGAGTGGCAAACAATCAAAATCAGGAAAAATATATTTTGAACTAAGCAACTGCTGAAAAACTCCATTAATTAATCTGTAATCATTGAATTTGAATCCATCCACAAAGACTTCACAACAAAAATACAAGAGAAGGAAAAGGAATTGAGGCTGATAATCAAATCCTTGATATCAAGTTCACTGCAATTTTAAACAATTGACGAAGTTGATATTTTTTTTTTTTAGTCAAGAGGCTGAAATCAATCTGGGTTTCGCCGAATGCCATCAAGACAGTTTATGTTAACCAGGACCGACCAAAAAAGAACGAAGTAATAGAACCAACAATTTTACGCCATGAATATAATAATTACATAAAAAAGCTTAATGAAATCCTGATTTCTAGCTGGTTATGCCCTTAGGCTCTCTACCATGTCTGTGATTATCAGCAAACTTGTCATTTTATTGCTGCTTTATGTGGGGTTGTGGAAATCAGCCTTTTTTATGCACAAGATAGAAGTGACTATTTGAAGCCAGGTGGTCAGTTAAATCACACAAGCCCCACTATGCTCAACTAGTGGTACATATTGCATTACTTTCAACCAAATATCTAGTGACTCGCCCTTTTATTACCTACTAGTCTACAACACAGTAAAAGATGGATCGATGGTTTGGATTGCCAATCGAAATGATCAAATTCTTGATCTTTCTTCAAAAGCTTTGACTTTGGATCATTCTGGCGTGTTGAAAATCACGCATGATGGTCAAGAGCCAACCATCTTCTACTCTCCTGCAGATCAGCCTCCCGATCTCATCAACAACATGAAAGCCACCTTGTTAGAGACATGCAACTTTGTCTTGCAACATCACC